GAATTATTTACCTCTCAGTTCAAAACCCACTTCAGTTCAAAATCGGTATCCTGTTTTTGCTGGCATGGCATGTGTAGCACAGACTGATCTTGACAATTCCAGCGTAAAAAATACAGAAGAGGCAGATAAAGTTGTTTATTCTGTTTTCTTGTTAATGCTGTTGTTGTGAACCAGTGTAGGTAATAATCTCTCATTGCTTGAAAACTGTATTGCACAGCAAAGATAAGTACGTTGACGCAGGAAGTGGTTATTTTAAGTGTGATGGAGTTTTGCTCGCCTCCATTTAGCTAATGTCATGATAGTCTTGTGTTTTCTGCACTGTCATGTTGCAGTGTTTCCAGATCTCAGCGACTATCTTGCTCAGTTTTATTACTACCAATGGGAACGGTGGTGCAAGCTTCGCAAATAACTGGAATGGTGCCTTAAGTTTTTGATTGAAGTAGGACATTGAAGGCCAAGGTAAATGTGGAATGAAGCTTATACTGCAAGTTGCCCCCTGTATTCCTTTCATTATTTTCAGACAGATAAGACCCACAGGTAACCATTTTCTGTCTCTAAAGTTTCCGGGGAGATTTAGAGAAGATGGATTTTTCCACTCTTTCTTTGTTGATGACATTGTGTTTGCATATTGGGAGCATGAGGTTATATCCACATCATTAGTCTCTCTGCTTGGATCCAGGCCTGATAACTACACCGCCATCACAGTTATATTCACTTCGGTTCTAAAGGTTCCATAAATTGTCTCTTTCCCTTTCTCACTTATGTTCACTCACACTCCTACCACTGTTCCCATGAGACACTGCGCTCGGCTCATTGGCCACCACACACACGCACACGCACACAGAGGGGGGTTCTCTCTCTCTCTCTTTCTCTCTCACCACCACCGCTGGGCTTACCCACCACCCACCACACACGCATACACAGCCTGAATACCAACCTCTGCATGTGCCCCCTCCCCATCACCACCCCCAACCGAGCGCACAGGGTTAGCTGAATATTCTAGGAGCTTTCAATTTTTCAGACGGGTCTGCGAACTCCCTCCCATCACGTGGCGCCATCACACTCAAGGGAGTCAGATTTTCAACAGTCGTTAGCAGGGTCATCTGCAGTCCCTCAGGGAGGGACTTAAAATAAAAGATTTGAATTGCCTTTCTCTCTTTTTATTCTCTTTTTGTCTCCCCGCTTTAGTTCTCTGTGTGGGTCTGTCATAATTCCACTTCCTGTCTTCCAGGCCTAGCAATATTCATCCCTCTCAATCTTGTCTCCGCCGCCAAATTCATCAATCAAAGACGAGGTCTTCCAAAGTGCTTTTTATAACTCTGATGTCACGCTTCTTATGCCACTGTCAAAAGTGGTGACAGAGCTCCAAACCGCTGGTTATGCCACAGTAAGGCGTTTATCCACTTGTATAATGTACTGTAGTGCTCATACAGGATCAAATATGGGATGTGAGGAAAATGGCTTCCAGCTGAAAGAGAAAGAGAAGGAGGGGGTTGTGAGGAAGACGGAGGGGGGAAAATGAGAAAACATTTCTTCTTCTAACTCTTTTGCACTAATATGAATTCCCAGTGAAATGTCTGCCGAAGTAGGTCAATGGGATTTAGAAAGTTTGTGGTGTTTTTTTTTTTTTTTTTTTTTTTTTTTTTTTTTCTCTTCCTCTCTCCTCATACTCTCTTGTCAATGGAAAATGAGCAATGCGATTAGGAGAGGGGAAGATGATGAGTTAGAGAGAGTGAGTGAAAAAGAGCAAGCGGAAGAAAGAAAACGACAGAAGACAGGCTGATGGTGGTTTGGGCCTCTCACGGGTCCCTTACCAGCTGACTGAGAGACCCAGACAAAGAAAGAGAGTGAGAGGAAAGGGAAGAGAAAGATTTGTATCTGCGCTCTAGAGGCAGGGAGTGGCTGATGTCTCTTCATCTTGATATTGAAGCAACAATCTAATTATACCATTTCTCCGGGGAATATGCATGTGATGGTAATCAGTAGATAGAAAAAGGTAATTATTTGCCAGAAGTCATACCCTTTGCACCTGTAAGCACTGCACCGATACCCGAGATTGTGATTTCCCTATAATTCACGATGAAGATAGTTTATTAGCAGCTAAATTATTTAGTTAATTTATATTAAGTAAATGAATTTCCTAGTTATTGAATATTTCATAGTGGCTGTCAAAATATAATGAGTTAAGTTTGGTCAAATACAAATGGGCCTCTCTTGGTAATTTGCCACAATGTTCCTCGGGGTAAATCTCCGCCAGTGAATGTGATTGAATGTTACAATTAAACGTTCTAATTCATTGTCAAAAGCAACTTATCTATACACATGATATATTTGGCGCTTAATTGGAAAGCACATTTAGAAATGGTTTCTTCTATGACTTTCTACATCACGGCCCAATCAGAATAAATTCTGCCCGCTGTAATGAATTGCAGTTGAATATTCGTAGTTGGGCTATTAAAGAGACTGGAAGAGTGAATTATTTAAATGCTAATTAATGTTTTAAGCTTTCCAACCTGCAATAGGCACATATTATTCCTCAGTTCCCCACAAATGGCTAATTTCTACATTCCCTAAGTGCGGAGTAACTTCTTGCTCATATTTCATTCAATCAATTCAGCAGCAGTGGTGCTTCTTTCACCCATGCAGCTACCTCGAGCCAGTGTTAGAGGAAGATGGAATCCATCAATACTGGAAGACAGTTGGGGGAATTACTAATCAACTCTTAGCTGGGAATTCAGTTGCCCATAGGCTGCACCTATGAATCATGGGAAACATACTTCAAATCTGCTTTACTTCAGATTTTTGTCCCTGCCACAGGTAAGAGAGTTTTCAGTTGTTGCGTTTCATGATCAGCACGTGTGATTTGAATCCCCTTTCCCCTTTGCACCGGTCTCTTGACAAGTTGCATGTTACATCTCTTTAGTAATTGTTTCGTGTTTTGTGCTCAGTCGCCGCGATTCTGCAGAGATTTAAAGACCACCGGCACCCTCTGACAAAGCCACAGATATTAGATGAACTTCATTAGCGTTGAAATAGTGTTAGATGTGGTTCAACTTTGTGTTCAAAGCAGCCGGCAAAGAAGTTCTAATGTGAGCGGCAGTAGCATTATTCATGCTTTCACAATAGCTTGTTATTCATCATAAGACAAAGGAGAATCTCACTCGGCTTGACATAGATGGAGGAGGGCCACAAGGGTATTATTCACATCTGTTGAAAACAGTATGCACAGCCAACTGGATGTCACGATACACCATGCTTATTAATGCATACAAAGTCTCCCAACACAGAATATAAATCACATTTTCCTTCACATCAGAGCATAAATATTAATTGTGTTAAATCTATGATGTATTGTGGTTAGGGAGTCGCTTTAGTTGTTTATTGTTACACCAACAGTATGCATTTTATTAATCAAAACAGCACATCATGTGAAGTGCAATACAGTACAAAGTGAGCTGTTGAATTCAAAAGTGTAGTTCCCTTTGATACCACAAGGTGGCACTGTAGGCCCACAAACATGCCGTCAAACCACTCTTCAGTCCCTGGCTGGCACTCTGCTCACTGATGTTCAGCTGGTGTTTTATTGAACTTGAACCGAAAACATTACAAACTGTCAACTACAATACCCTACTTTCTATAAGACACATTTGTACACACTTTGAAAAAAAATTAAATAAAAGGAATCACAGCCCTGTAGATACAGTGCATTGTTCAGAACTCAATATAAATAATCCTACCTGAACCACAGTACAGCACATAGAATCAACAGAAGGCCTCTGGGAGGCTTTTCGCCTTGTTCCCTCTCTTCTCTCTTAAAGTAGAGAGTTTGCACAGCTGTCCGGGGAAAACAAATGGCATTCCACTCTCTTCCTGTGGCAGGACATCTGTTGCTTTCAGCTGGCATCCCTTCTGAGTCTACTGAAGTGTGCTTCATGCAGCCTGGCAGCATTATAATAACTCAGCTGACTATTGCATTTTATCGTATGATGGGTCCTTTCCCTTTTGATAGGTGAGGTGGTAAAGCTGTTTTGTGTTGAATGGAAAAAAGCATGACCAAATGTACTGTACGATGTAACTTGATCCTCCATTGTATATCAAATAGCTGAATCTACAATAAACAAACTACAGTATTTTACTCAACCTTACCAAAGAAGTCATGACACCCTTTGATCAGAACCTTTATTCCAAATAAAGATGAGGTGCTTTGAGTTATTTGGTGAACTGACAAGCCTCTAGCCTCTAAGCCTGCATCACTACATCGACAGGCTTCAACCTTCCAGTCAACCTGAAACTTCCAACATGCTCATGCCTCCGTGCACAGCTGCAGATATACAGCTGCTCACGGTCGCTGTATGTCAAAGACACACTCATCTGACCCTCGCACGTAGATTCAAGGAAAGATAAGATCTTAGACGTGTTGATAGCCTGCCAGAACAAGTCATCTTAAGTATAGGTGTGTAAGGGGCAAGCCTTTACAGAGTCGCGTAACAATGCTATTATTCACAATGCCACCAGCATTAATATTGCTATTAAGCGCAGACTAATACAATGTGTTTACATGTTTCTTCTGCAGCCCCTTCTTACAGCTGCCTTGGCACTCTGAGTGACAAGTTCTCCCCCTCTCCATAAACCACCTTGTGCAGATTGACAGGGAATTGGACAGGGTATAATACTAATTTACACTTGCATTGAATCATCTCAACACTCTGTCCATGTCCTTACATCCTCTGCTGAAGTCAGATTTCTTACAAAGACAGCCAAGTAAGCTCACTCTGACTCTTCCCTGACCATTTTCTGAAGTGAAAAGAAATTCAGAGACGATGACGGTGCTTGAAATTCTAGATGTAGTAGAGGTGAATGGGAGCAGGTGCCTGGTTGGTTAGTTGAACTGCACTGACTCATCTAATTTAGATGAATATGTGTGAGACAAAGCAACAATACAAAAACTGCTAGTTTATTAAGATTGTGTAAAAAAAACAAAACATTTTTTTAATCTTCAGTCACTGTACATCAGTTTCTCTCTTGTACTTCATGATCATCTTTGCATACTCCCGTCCTGACCGGTATATGGTTCGAGTCAGCTTTGCATCGGAGAAGTCCACATGAAACAGTCCAAAACGAACACTGAATCCGTCAGCCCATTCAAAGTTGTCCAACAGCGACCATGCAAAATATCCACAGACATTGACGCCATCTTCTTCAATAGCTGCACAACAACACAAAGTTAAAACATGGTGAGAAATTTTAATTTTGTGCACACAACAAGAGTTGATCCAAGAGCCCTATCTCTAAAACAGAAGCATACCCACTGCTTGATTTCATAGCTATAGCCATCTAACTGAACCACGACTGCTAACATGACAAATGACAAGATTTGCATCATCATAAAGTATTCAAAAGCAGACCAAGAGCATGATTCATTTACAACAAGTGAAAAAGCCTTGTGTCATACCTATCAGCTGGGAGCACCTTGATAAGTCATGCATGAGCTGTTTCTATGACTTTAATAGATAAAAGCGGCATCTGCTAACTTTTTTTTGGACAGCAAAAATGTTTTTTTGGTCTTCTTTTTAGCATGTTCATGTGTCAGTCAGAAAAGCACAGGTCTAAGTAATGAAATTAATAATGGCCAAATTACATTAAGATGCTTTGGTTTCAGATTCCTTGTATTGTGCATGCTAGCTCACAGTCACTGTCACGGCCTGTTTGGTAGCCAGCTTCCCCACATCCTGGCAATAAAAAATACACAGACTGGTCAGATGGTGGCGCCAAAACAAACAACTTTGCATTTGGGCAACACCACAACCCAAAGGCCTAAAATTAAAAATAATATTATTATAGATATAAATCATCGTATATATAAATCATTATAGTTTCCCCAATTTTGAATTTAAAGCAGAGCCTGTTCAGTAATGTATGTATATATCTCCTAAAAATGCAATCACAATTTGACAAAGGTGTCCTGAAAATTTAAAAGAATTTGTCCATAGTCCACCAGTAATGTTGCTGTCAAAGGTGTGTAAGACAAAAAGGAGGTATTTTTAATTTTAGAGAGGAAATAAAATGCTATTTTTTCCAGACCAGACACTCAAGTGTATCATTAAAAATAAAAAGTCTGGGTTTAGTACATTATAAAATGCACCAGCACATATCGGCACACTTGACTTCCTCAGGGTGTCTTGGAAAGTAAGGTATAATCGAAAAGTGCTTGAAGCTACAGATACCAGTCTTTGCATACTGAATTTGTAAGAGGGTGCTGGACCATCCAAATTGTACCCTGGTTGCAAGAGGGTTGATGGTGTATCAAACCACCTTTGGTCCTGCAAAATATTCGCTCTACCAGGGCTATTTGTCAGCCAGTATTTTCATTAGTAGTTACTGGACTGGTACTAAAATGTTATAAAGAACATTTCCAAAATGCAGAATTAAAATAATTTACATGAGCTTTGACTCTAATAATGTTTGTCAATGGCTATTTGCTTGTTTTATTGCATTTCTCTAGTACAGATATACCAGCCTTTACCTTTAGCCACCTCCAGGATGGTGTCTTTGTAAAACTCACAGCGCTGGACATCCTCAATTTGCAGTGGCCCTATCTGAGAGAAACCATTCTCTGTGATGTAGACTGCTGGGTTGTTGAAAGTGTCCTGGAAAGTCGTGGGGCAAATATTATTGTCAAACAAGGCATCACAGCTGTCAGACATTCCAGGGAGAGACAGATTGGTCTACAGTGTGCCGTTTAGCTGCATTTCAACAGTGCCAAGCTCAAACTAATGGCCTGTGACAAGTCACAACAGCAGGAAATTGCTCGTTTGCAAACACTTTTCAGCAAAGTAACTGTTTCATTCAATGTGACAGCACTAATGAAGCATCAGTGTGTTTCTGGAGGTGTTAAAAGGAGATTACTGCATACAAAATCAATAGTAAGACACTAAACTAATGTCAGAGTGTTCTCCTCCTTTGGTTAAAGGCGATTTGTCTTCTCGGTCAATTCAGTTTGATGCTAAGAGAGAAAAGAAAAATGACTCCACATTTCAACTGATTGAATGCATAGTCAAAATGTAGGATGTGGATTATCCTTGTTTGAGCGACTTTTCAGTGATGTGGACCAAGTTAACTGGCTTTTAGGAAAACATTTTAGTTGTAATATTACCTTAATGTGCTTAAGAAGTTTCCTTAAGCCATAGGGGACTACAGCCAGCCAGGACACTCCACAGACAGACCAGGACGGATCCAAAATTTCCTCTGCATCTCGGTCGCTCTTTATACACATCTGTCCACATCCTCCTCCTGGCTTGACTTTGCGGGATGTATAGTAGTTCAAAGCAAAGAAATCAGCTGTGCCTAAAATGGCAGGTTCATCCTTTGAGAAGCTGGGCAGTCTCGAGCTGCCGCTATATCCCAGCTTCGTACTTTGAGAGTTGATGGCGGATCTCATTATTTCTGGATAATCTCCAGTGACAAAAACAGGCCAGGCAAACCAGCCTAGAGTAAATGCAAGGTCACGTTCAGTAGCAGTAATATCCTCGTTGCAATCCGGGCGCAATGGCTCAAACCAGTCACTGTTGATGGCCAGAGACACCGCTCCCTTCTGCTTTGGCCTGTAGTAGGAGTTGTAGCTGTGCCAGGCCATGGCATGGGCACGCAGCATATTATGGCCCACCAGGTAAGCAGCAATCCCCGGTTCTTTTAACCCTGGAGCATGGATGCCGTCTTCGTGGCCCAGTTTGGCGCACACATGTGGCTCATTGATAGTGATCCAAAGTTTGACTTGGTCCCCAAATGTTTGGAAACAAAACTTGGCATAGCTGTCGAAGTGGGTCACTATAGCTGGGGATTTCCAGCCACCCTGGTCTTGGAGAGCTTGCGGCAAGTCAAAGTGGTAGAGTGTGACCATAGGTGAAACATTACAGGCCAGCAAATCATCAATCACCTTGTTGTAGTACTGTACACCTGTTGGACAGTTAGGCAGTGCTGTAGTTAATGGGTGACATGGTAAAACAGCACTAGAAGCATCTAATAAGCTTGTTTTATTATGTAGTTCTAGATTTGGGTCTAGCATGGGCCTTACAGGAATATGGAAATACCTTTTTGATTGACATTGCGTGTGGTCCCATCAGGCAGGAGGCGGGCCCAGGAGAGAGACAGGCGATAGTGCGTCAGTCCAAGCTGCTGGATGCACTCCAGGTCTTTCTCCCACAGCTCGTAGCTGTTACAGGCTACATCTCCGTTCTGCTCCTTAAACACTCTGCCTTTCTCATGACAAAACGTGTCCCAGATACTCGGTCCCTTGCCGTCTGCCTGCCAGCCACCTCAACACACACATAGAGGTTGTTTCATTTCATAAAAGTAGGGAGGGTGTTGACTTAAAGAAAAATCACTGTAATGTTTCAGCTGGGACTTTTAGTAGTTTTAGTCTCCTGAAGGCTCATATTCATGTGATATTCCAGCATATATTAGCTAAAGTGTTCAGTGTTTTTCCTTCTATTATAGAAGGGATTGCCTGTTGTTTTTTGTAATGTTTTTTTAGTGTGTTCTCAGTCTTACATTAGGGTGACTTGTGAGCTTCTTCCAAGTTGTCTATACTTACCGATATAACGATAGTATCAATAATAATGGCCTGTAGACCGATTGGTTAAACTTAACAGTCACATGACATTCAGGCATGCAGCGTCTGATTTAAGAAAATCACTGTGCTTTGTGCCTCAGAGTCTTGGGTCTTGCTGTGTACCAGTTACCACAACATCATGGACGCCTGTGCAGTCTAATTCCATCTATTACAAAAGCTTTGGAATGAATATAACCAAAGTTCATGATATCTCCAAACAGCATGAACAACAATGCAATGGCTATTGGTGAAAATACCATACTTAAGTATTAAAAAACGGATATTAATCACATACCTTCTATTTGATACGCTGCAGTTCCTGCTCCCCACGCAAAGTCAATTGGGAACATGTTATCCCAACCCTTATGTCTCCGCGTTGTTGTTTGAAACAATTAATACATTAGGTTTAAACTGCTCGTCCTCGCACACAAATATCCTACAACCAGGAACTACTCCGAGATGTGACGTTCGATACATGAATGCTATCTCAGACATATTAAAACTGGTGCTAACTCAGACGAATTAATCCAATATCTGTATGAATGTTAGGAATCCAGTGCAGCAATTTCTCTTGTACCTAAATAATAATCAGTCACAACGATTTAAGTTACAGGGCTCAGGCTTTTGATTGTCCTTTAAAGTTGTGCTCACGACTCTCCCGAGGTGCACTTGAAAGCAACACATCAAGGTACAGTCCTGCGTGATGACGTCTCGCTAAGTTTGTGGACGTCAAATTTGCGCTGTCTGGACAACTTTTACTTTGTTGCATTTTCAAATTTTATAAGAGCCCATGTTCGTTTGATTTAATTGATTAAATCCAGTGAAAGTGTGTGATTTTTATAAACTTTTCTGGCAATGGGATTTAATTCAGAATGGCTTGCAGCTTTTGATAGGTTGCGTTTGACCAGACTGAAATTCAGATGAAAAGAATTTGTTAGCATTGAAGTCACTGAATATCATCCATTCAGCTGACTGCTGCATCGCAACAATGTGACGTACTGTGCTGACAAAAAAGGTTAAAGGTTGCTCATCAATGAACGTCAGGCCTCACAAATCCTGAAAGCAAATAGACTAGTGGAGGTGAAAGCATTTAGCCTGAAGGCATAAGTTCCCTGGCCTGTGTTCACTTCAATGCTCTTCTTTGGTCCAGGTCCTATAGAATGAAGTGACTCACTCGACCTGATCATAACACAGAAAATGGATTGGGAGGGTAAACAGATTTTCCTCATGTAGCTGCAAGATACTAGGATTTGTGCTCCTCATGTGACTTCATTCTTTATGGCTATTGTACAGCAAACTACACTAACCTCGTTTAAAGTCAACCAAACAGAGAAAACTAGGGGTGGAAGAAGTATTCACATCCTTTATTTTAGTAAAAGTAGAAATACAAATACATGACAATACTGTTTCACTCAGAGAAAGTAGGCTACTTACAAACACAAAGCAGTGAAAGTGTCAAAAGACTACTATTTGTATTAAATAGTTGGCTATTCTGCAAATTATTAATAACTACTGTGAAATAAATGTAGTGGAGTAAAATGTAGAATAATTGCTTCACAAAATTAATTATCAAAAGTAGCAGGCCTACATTAAAAATGTGTTTGTTGTGTATATGAGTGCAGTTACTTTCAGTACAGTTTCCACCACTGCAGCCTGAATAGAGATAAAAGTATTACAACCTTGTCTGGCAAATACTCAAAGCAACTCAACGGATGACAATGCCTCTGCTGAGGGTTTTATTCTGAAATGCAGACCGGATATGCTTTGAATTCCACTGGAGTTGACAATAGTGGAGCCCGGGGCAGGACCATGGGAAGAGGACTTCTCAATGGACACAGAACTAGTTTTGAAAACTTTCCAAAGACACCGGGGAACTAAAAGACACAAAATAACCACTTTACATACGTTTCTTTAAGTTATGTCGAGCGTTTCACTTTGTTTTTCGACCATTTGCAGCACACTTTGAGCTGTGTTTTTGTACTTTCGTATTTTTTTCAGAGTTATTTCCTGTTGGTGCCTGGAAAACAGGGAATGGAAACTTTACTCGCTCTTGTTTGGTTCAGTATATAGTTCGAATTATTTGGAAATGAAAGTACGTGTTTTATAAAGCCTGGTCGCGTCCCCTGAAGTTAATGCAGATAACCTGGGATGACTGCAGCCGCCTCCCGTGGAAAAGACAACACTGTGACTCGGACCCACGCTATGGGCAACAAAGAAAACCTCCCAACAACTGGGCAAGTTATTTACTAACCACCGAGCATACCCAGCATTTAAAATTTGTGGATTAGTAGAGTTGGAGGAAATGAACACAACGCCACAATGGGAAGGGAATTATAAATGAGTCGTTTGGCAAACAAAGGAGGACACCTCTGTCGGACTGAATGCCGCCGAGCAAAGGGAAAGCCTTGCGAGAAATGGAGGAGGAAGGTTCACTTGAACCAAACAAGATACTGGCAAAGGTCGCATTTTTGTCTGGCTTTCGGGCCACCTTTTTATAACAAAGCTTCTTAGTTTCACCCTACTATCTATCAAAACATTATTTCCTTTGCCAATGCTGCGAGGGTATTCAAGTCGCGTGTGAAAATGAGGGTGGATGTGTTGCAGTTGCTTGTGATTTTGCTGCTGAGTGTCGGCGGCGGAGGCTCGGTGGTATCATCTGATTGCAAATCATATGATGAACGCTCGAAAAGCGCTGGGAAGAGCCCGACATCCGACAGGAAAGTGGTCTGCAGCAACATGGAGCTCCATCAGGTGTTACCGCCGGACTCCTTCCCCAACAGAACAGTCACACTGTAAGTATACACAGAGACGCAATTTACATTCATTTTACCCAGTTAAAACACACCCAAGCCTGCTCTGACACTGTACTTTCAATCTTTGAGCTTTGTTATCAGGCGATTATCCACTGTTGGTGGCAGAATGTGAACTACATCCCCCGCATTCCCCCTATTGTCTTCTTTTAAATAGTTAACATGGAGTCACTACAAAGACCTAAGCATCTTTTCCTTACTTAATTCTCCTAAATACACATCTTATCCTGATTATTAACTGAATGAATGTGAGGTTCACTTCCACATAGTTATCCATAGTTTTAGAGGTAATCGGGTAATATTTCTAAAGATAAATATGGCATGATAAGTGGTACACTAGAGCTATATTTGTGTCTGCTCCGTGTCAGCCATACATCATGCTTTCACAGCTGCATACTGGAATAGTGTACATGTAAACCCTATGTAACACTAACCGCCTGTCTTCCTGTAGTGTTGTGATTCATACACAGGAAGACGCCTCTCTGACCATATCTCCAAGGCATTATAATGGATGCAAGGGCTCACTGGCTGTGATGCTTTTTCCTGTCTGATGGGGTTACATCCAGTTTCAGTCGTACTGTTATTGACAAAACACTTTACTAAGCCTCACCAGCCGCCAGTGGTATTAATACAGTTGTTAGTTGTCATGTGGCCACCCTCAGAACTCAAAAGGACGAAACACACACACATGCAGACACAAGTGATTGAGCACAAGCAGATTTCCCTCACAAACCTTTTCATGACCTCATGGATTGAGGTCATCAAATATTTCTGCAGATTGCTGAGACTTTTGTGTTGTTAACATATTTTCAAGTTGTACCTGATTTAATTTAGTGGTGTTTTGATCTCGGTGTATCACAGTGTTCAAAACAAGACAAGACAACTTTTTTTATTAGAAAAACTAGTAAAAAGTCAGAAATTCAAGCTGTGTGTTTAGAGCACTTGTGTTTTGTGGTGGTGGTGAGCGATAGGGGAAATATGAGAATACTAGGGCAGGGTGCAGGAGTAGAAAGCAAATAATAGACTCCAGGGAGGGAAAGAAAGGGAGAGGATTGGCTGCAAAGTTATGAGTGATAAGACCATTGCAGTGATTTTGCATGTTTTAACCTGTTTACCACAAATTGCAGGTACATTACTTTGAAGCAAAGTCATTGAGTTGTTATATTTTTAAATCTGCTTTCCAATCATATTGGTTTGTAGTCATTTCACGAGAGCATAAAAGTAACATTTGCAGAGATTTGATATTTGCTTGAGTTAGGTAATCCATAAGTGCAGTGTGTCTAGTTTTATTTATTTATTAATCAAAGTCAGACCATTGTAGCATGGGAATTGACACATTGCACATGTTGAGCAGTTTGCTGCAAGGATGTGTTAGGCTTAGAGTTTTTATTTTATCAATTACTGAAACTGCTGAACACCTGGCAACCACTCAAACAAGTGTCAAAGCCTCAGAGACCTGTCAGTAAAACAAATGATGTGCCTCTTTAAGACTAAACATCCCAACAATTTCCTCTTCACTGACCTCCATATTGTTTTTTTTGTTTTTTTTTACCCAGAAGTACTAACCTGTACTTACCTGTTGAAGTGCTGGTTGTATTCAGGAGCTGACTGTGAAATCTCAGATGTTGGAGCTTTCCACCAACACATAACACATTGAATTACATGACTCGAGCAAGTATCATGTCTCTGTCAATCAGTAATCATAAAGTACTGAAATAATGAGCTGGCAAGAGCTTGAACTTTGAATAATAATGAGCAGTAATGAGAAGTAGATATGATTAGTAGGGAATTGACTAAAACATGCAGTTACACATGAAGTGCTCTTGAATATTCGAATTTCTTGAGTTTATTTATTTATTTTTTATTGTGATCCCTGATACAATCTTCCTCTTTATGGTGTTTAATAATCCTGTCCTCTTAAATGTGTCTAGAATTTGAAATATGCTGATCTCTCTTGGTTATGGTGTAGTTGGCGTTTGCCATGTCTCTATGTTTTCAGTGAGCTTGGAGTCTGTCATCTTATTCAGACAGTGATGGATTGGAGGTTGAGCCAGGTTCCTCATGATTTAGCATTGAGCTTAAGCACTGTAATGTGAAGGATAGTCTCCAAAGAAGAAGAAAGATGTAATTAGAGAGCACAGACAGCGAGCAGTGCAACTCTCAGGAATTCCTTCCAGTCTCCATTTTTGCATTTCTGGACACTTGTTTGTTTTCCATTGTAGGAAAACAACAAAACTATGTCCTTAAAGGGGAAGCCTCTTCACAATTCAATGTAGACAAGAGTAACAATCAAACAGCAATTTATGTTCACTGTGAAATTTTTAGGTGTTGATTTATGACCTGTAAAAGCGGCGAGCCCTCTCATTAGGTGTGGTGGTCCTGTTTTATGGCTCTCCCACTGCCTTGTTGTGGGGTTGACCATGGCCTGGACATAGCTGGTCTGGACTGCAGTGAACTCTAAAGAAATGTAATCCACTTTTCACCAAACTTGCATCTTAATGTTTCTAGATGTTCTGCGGCAGTGTTCTCAGAGGTATGTTTAACACATAGACCTGGATCTAAATGGCTTGTGTGCCTAAGGGGTGTTAGTGTCAGCAGAAAGACATCTCTAATTAATTTTTTCTCCTTTAAGGCAAAT